CGGCTGACTCGCTGTGGGCTCTGGGGACTCTTCTGTCTCTACCTCCCCAGCTCTGGGCACACAGATTGTTTTTCCTGAGGATCTGAATGCAAGTCTTTATGCTTGCATGGCAAGTCCAGTTCACCTCTTAGAACAGTTCTCATAAGCATACCCTCCCACCCCTACCCCTGCCCCAAGCAGGGTGGCTTAGTAAGGGCAAAACATTGTACTGGGAACTCCCCAAAGAGCATCTTATTCTGTCCTCAGAGCAGTTGTGTGAGGTGATGTATTATCATCTCTCTCTTTTTAAGAATTGTTGTTGTTGTTATTTTGCGTGTATGGGTTTGTGGCTGTGTGTAGAGAGGTAAGCAGAGAGCATCAGGTTCTAGAGCTAGGTGTACAGGTGGTTGGTTGTAGCTACCTGGTGTGGGTGCTGGGAACCAAGCCCACCCAAGTCCTCTGTAAGAGCAGCAGGTACTCTTAACCACTGAGCCATCTCTCTAGCTCCTAGGGTTTTATTTTCTCTATTTTTGTATTTTGAGACAGGATTTTTCTGTGTAACCCTGATGGTACTGGAACTATCTCTGTAGACTGGGCTGGCCTTAAACTCACAGAGATCCACCTGCTGCTGCCTCCTGATTGCTGGGATTAAAGACATGCACAATACCAGTAGGCTTATTTTCTTAATTTAAAAAAATAAAATAAACAAACAAAACACAATCAGTATTGTGGCACATGTCTTTAATTCTAGGAGGCAGAGAAAGGCAGATCTACGAGTTCGAGGTTAGCCTGCCTACACAGTTAGTTCCAGAATGGTTAGGACTGTACAGAGAAACCCTGTCTGGAAAAACAAAATAACAACAACAACAACAAAAAAAAAAGGTAACAACATCATCAATAAAGATAGTCTGGCCAGATGGTGGTGGTACACACTTTCAGTCCCAACATTTGGGAGGCAGAGGCAGGTGGATCTCTGAGTTTGAGACCAGCCTGGTCTACAGAGCTAGTTCCAGGACAGCCAGGACTTGGGGGGGGGGGTCTGATTGTATATTAAAAAATAAAATATAGGTATACGACTGACCAGCTTTTCCCAAATTAACATAAAGAACAAAGGAAACAGCTAAGGTCTTTGCTCACCACTGCTTTGTTGAACTAGAGCCCCTTGGCTGCAGGTGGAAACCCCCATTCCTTCCCAGCTGACCTGAGTTTATCTGGGTCTGCTCGTGTTTCTGTATACCATGGAGCCAGGCATCTATACTCAGGTGATCCTCGTTTGGAGACATCATTAATCCTGTGTCCTATGTCTGCAAGGAGAAGCTGTTGACAGCCACCTCCCTCAGTAAAGTGTCACCTTCATATCTTCCAAACAGTACCGCAAATGTTTGTAGAGGCTCTGCCCTTACTAACAGTGCCAGTCATATCTGCGACATGAGGCCACAGGTCTGCGTTAAGGCTGCCCGAGGAGGTCGGCTACGGCAGCTTGAGAGGCTCGGGGTTTTGGATTTTAGGGAGAAAGGTAAGTCAGTAAGTTGAGGGTTAGGCAGGGGTAGGAGAGGTGGCGGGCTTGAAGATGAATAAAGGTCCTTGCCTGAGGTTTATTAATTCTATGAATCTTTGCTAACAGCCCCACAGGAAGCACCTAGTGTTAGAGCCCAGTACCCGGGTAGGCAGGAGAATGTTAGGGAAGGGAGCAGCAGGGTGGGCATGGGCATCTGATGTGCAGATGGATGAATGGGTGAACACTGCCTTCCATGGCAGGAAGAGGTGCCCAGAGGTGTCCAAAGGTGTCAGTGTGAGCGGGGCAGCGCTTTTCTGGAGGGGTGTGTGCATGCGTGTGCATGAGAGAGAGACACAGAGAGAGACTGTGTAACTGTGTATTTCTGGCTGGCTGGCCTGGAACGCTATATATACCAGGCTGGCTTGAACTCACAGAAGTCTGCCTACCTCTGCTTCCCTTTGATCTTGCTGGAATCAAAAGTGTCTACCCCCACCCCTACCCTCACCATGGTGAGAGACTTCTTGACGCATTTCTCTTTGGACAGGCACCGTGCTTTTACTTCTGCTGAGAAGGTAAAGTAGATAACAAATGTCACGGCCGAGGAGAAGAGCCCCTGTGGGTGGGGATTGCTGCTGGAGATGAGTGTTTTCAGTTGATCTTGAAGAATTTTGAGCACTTCCTGTTGTGGACAACCCAGGTGGAGGTGGAGTTAGTTGTGGGGTTATGGTTTCTATTCCCACTATGGAACCCACTTCCTGAGAGAGTGTGACAGCTAGGAAGTTTGACCAATCAATAGGAAACAATGACAGAATACACAGAAGCCATCAGACGGATTTGACGTGAGTTAGTCGTCTTGTTTCGTGTGTATGTGTGTGTGTGTGTGTGTGTGTGTGTGTGTGTGTATGTATATACATGTGGATATGTGTGCATGTGGAGGCCAGAAGTTGGTGTCTTTCTCCAGCCCTCTGTACCCTATCTTTTGAGACAGGGTATGCCTCTGAATCCAGTGCTCACTGGTTAGCTAGGCTGACTGGCCATATTTGCCTATCTTCCAACCCCTCTGATTGGGTTAAGGACGCGTACCTGGCTTGTCACGTGGGTGTCAAGGCCTCTAAACTCGGGTCCTCACGCTTGCACATAAGTGCTTTATAGACTGAGCCATCTGTCGTGAATGGTAGGTGTACTTGAACATGAATAAGACAAATGAAATCGCCTAAAATCCACGTGAAAAGAGGGAGAGCTAGGACCTAGCATTGAGAAGAGGGACTGCAAGCACTGAGCTCTGAAAGTCACCATTTATACCTTGTCCCAGCTGTCTCTGTCTGCACAGTTTTTCGTTGAGACAAAATCTCAGCTCAGACCGGACTGAAATCGCAAGGTCCAAATCAGGAGCAGAAGGAGAGAGAGCACGAGCAAGGTACTCAGGACCACGAGGGGTGCACCCACACACTGAGACAATGGGGATGTTCTATCGGGAACTCACCAAGGCCAGCTGGCCTGGGTCTGAAAAAGCCTGGGTTAAAACAGGTCTCGCTGAACATAGCGGACAATGAGGACTACTGAGACCTCAAGAACAATGGCAATGGGTTTTTGATCCTACTGCACGTATTGGCTTTGTGGGAGCCTAGGCAGTTTGGATGCTCACCTTACTAGACCTGGACGGAGGTGGGTGGTCCTTGGACTTCGCACAGGGCAGGGAACCCTGATTGCACTTTGGGCTGACGAGGGAAGGGGACTTGATTGGGGGAGGGAGAGGGAAAGGGGAGGCGGCGGTGGGGAAGAGACAGAAATCTTTAATCAAAAAAAAAAAAAAAAA